TTCAAGAATCATTAATCAAAGCGGTTCAGTGTCATCATCTTGATTCTCCGTGGGATGTTTTCCCGATTTGTATAACCGATTGGTAATCTACCGAGTCGTTATAACCAGACATGACTAATCTGGTCCAATTTATTCCAGTTCTTATAGTTGGTTTTTTAACCAGACCGGTCTAATCTCAGCCTCAGCAAAACAATAGAAAGACAGTTTAATTGAGATCGAATCGAATTTGGTTTGGTTTAACTTAATTCGGTATGATTTTTTTAAGCCTCACCACCATTTATTAATTGAAGAAGTTTTGTGTCATCAACGGTAGGGGGAACAAAAAATGGAAATTTAGGATAAAATGGAGAAATATGAGGGTTTTAGCCGTTTAGGGTTTTCGATTTTGTTTCAAAAATGTCTCAGCTTTTCGAGTCACCTTCTGGCGAATCTTTCATCGTTAACAGGTAATTCATCATCCCTTTTTGATCCATATGAGATGATAGTAATCTGTGCTTGTTCTGATCACACTCTAATTTGGCATATTGTTGAATCACAATTTCATGATGCGGTTTACATTTTAACCAACTATTCAGATATCCTCATGTGTATGATTTGATGCCTCTTGTCTTGAAGGTTTGTCGAGCGCATATACACAGACGAAATCCCTGTGATCAAGCTAAGGACGTTTGTGGTGTTTAGGCAAGATCCTGAGCAAAGGATCAGTTCTTACACTGAAGACATTGGCGATCTCTGCATTTTCCTTGGCTGCAACGAGGCCTTCTGCGTCTCTGCAACCAAGTATCCTGGACTTAAGCCGAATTCCATCTACTTTGCAAACTCTTACACAGGGTTCGGTTTCTACGACCTCTCCTCCAACACTCTCCACGAATTCATCAATCCGCCCCCTTTCCCATGTTGCTACGATTGGTTGGCCCCTCTCCACTGAAATAAAGCCTATTGGCTTTTGAACTGTGTAACTTAAGTGTTGTGATCTGCATATGTGTAACTTACGTGTTGTGATCTTTCTTTTTATGAAACTGGTGGATGCTTGCTTTTGGTTAAGCAATGATCGGTGATTATCTTATTATTTTATTAGTCAATCTCTATCTGATAAATAAGTAGTCATTACAACACCAAATTGTTCTAATTCTTTTTTTTTTCCAAATATTTATACTAAAATTGCAGCCGATCGTCTAAAATAGCTAAATAATCAATTAGTTTTTAAAAATACGAAAACTATACACCACAATTTGAATCATGAATTTACACTGTAAACAATAGTTTTTTAAAGTTGCATATCTATCTAATATAATATTTTAGGGTTTTTTCTAAGTGAAGCTTCGAGAGGCTGCCACGTGTCATTTTTGGTGTTAACAATTTTTCATTTTTAGTACATTATTTTTAATTAATTTTGACATTTGTCTCTCTAGATTTTAGAATTTTTATATTAATTCTTTAAAATAAAAATGTGATATCAATTTATTAACTTAAAGTAACATTTATTTAGCATCAAATTATCTTCATAAATTAATTAAAAATATGTAAAACCATATTCTTATAGATTTTTTTTTCAATATCTCTTTTCAAATTCTATAAAATTTTCTTAATTAGAACTTCCGAAAAACTATCATATTTAAAGAATATATATTCTTAACTTTTCTTTTTGTTGTTTTGTCTTTTTGTGTTCAAGTATCAAATTAACTATGTAAGTAAAAAATATCCAATAAATAGAATTTTAAAACTTAAAGAAACATCTTGAGGGAAAGAAAACCTTATACATGAACGTTTTGTAACGTATGATATTAAATATCAATAATTGATACAACAATTTTGTCAGTTTAGGCCAAGTTTAACTCATCTTGACACACCATTGATAATTTTGTACTAGATTTTTTCTCTATGCAACTAATATACGTAAATGCATTTTTTTTAAAAATGTTCTGAACTTCATTTATTGATAAGATAAAAAATTGTAATGAAAAAACTAAAAAAAAAAATTTATGTCACATACGATCTTGATTTTTATATAGAGTATTTTGTATAAATACTCATAAAGACATGAATAAAAAATAAATTTATATAAAAAACTATCATTTTGTTAAAAAAATTGTAGAAGCTATATAAATTTAGGTAATATAAGAATCAAATTCTGTATACTAAATATGTGATCAATCAATTTCAAAAGCATTTAAATTTTACTAATATTTTACATGTGTTTATCTATAAATTATGAGAAATTTCAAAAAATGCCACGTTTCAAGTGCCACTTTACAAATATGCAACACTTTTGAAATCTTTACAAAAAGGCCACTTTTTCAAAATTATTTTTTTTATATTATTTATGTTTGGGTTAATTATGTTCTATTAGGGTTTAGTTTTGCGTGTTTAGAGGGTTTTAGGTGTCAAAATATTGTTTAGGGTTTAAAATTTTAAGATATAAGCTTTATAAATCTATAATTAATGGCATTTTTGTAATTGGACACCCCTAAATGGCATTCTTGCAAATGTGTACACAAAAAATGACATTTTTGTAATTGCCCCGTAAATTATTGCATATTTCACTTTATAAGTTTTAATTTCCGGTCATGTGTGGACTCAACATTTCTTTTTTACATTAGTGGACACCGACTATAACGAAAATATTCCAAAAGAATACGCTGAATTGTAGAGCAAAATTGAAAATATAGTATTCAAAAGAAAGTTTTTATATATATCATCATATGACTCACTTTCATATTAAACATTTAAAAATAATATTTGAATTTGTATAAATAGAAATTATGAGTATAAAGCTAAAACATCATTTAAGTATATCAATGTTAGTATACTTAAATAGTTTTTAAAATCATCTAAACAGTTGTTCCGCGCAATGCGTGGATTTTCACTAGTTTGTCTATATCCTCGAGGATTAAAGTAGTTATGATTTGCATGCCCCCGAACAAGAGCGTACATATCTATTATGTTACAATACTTGAGAGTTTGGGATAAATGAGAAAAAGGACGTTAGCAAAATCAAGGTTCAAAAAATCGGCCAAGTCGGCGATTAATCGGCAACTCGGACCCTGACGAAACGATTATGCCCATATCGGAGGAACAAATCGGAGCTCTTCAAAACTCGGTCTATATCATCACAAATCGGTTCAAGTCAACCACGTCGGTGCAAATCGGTCGAGGCGGTGAACTCGGTGGCTGGTGGAACTACTCGAAAGGGATGGAGAGACTATCAGTGAACCTACTTGTCAAGCTGCAAATGATGAACGTGGGGAGGATCTTGAATCTGACGAAGAGCA